CTGCTTATGATGATTATGAAGTTTGGCGAACGGGCGTCTCCATGAAACTGCGTTGTCAACAAGTTTGAGGCCTGTCACACAGTCTTTGTATTTGGTACACCTGCGGCGAGCTACAGGTGTGAGTTAGCGGGTTTACCCCAATTCGACCTGGGGCTGTCCAGCTTATGGTTGTCAGTAGCACACCATCGAGCACCAGAAGGTGCCCGCCCACCGTCAGGTAATGCCTGGCGCTCTTGTGAGCCTATAGACCGTCACCTGTTGTTTCCCCTATCTTGATTTTAAAGGAAGGGGGTCAATCGATCGAGGATTGGCAGACTGAGTTAGTTCAAACCTTAACTATTAACTTGTCTGGTGTGAGTGGCTCTGAGGCGTAGCTCAATGGGTCATTGAAGTGCACTGACCATCGGAACACGTTAGGGTCTATGGTGAGCATACCGCTTGTTTATGGAGCTTAACGATTTCGGGCCAACAGTCTGAAAGATGATTGATCGCTGCAAGGGGTATACTGAAGAATATGTTGTAATCGATTTAGATCTACATGAACGAAGCTCAAACACTGACCGAGAGTGCAATAGCATGGAGACGTGCTCTGCCTCCGTGAGTGGTTCTAATCAATGACAGATATAAAAAGAGCTCGATGTAATGGTACCGATTCGGAAAGTGACGCAGAAGGGAGATAAGTGGCATTGGGACGCGAAGCATAAGAGCGTTGAGAGAGAGAAGAGGGGAGGAGTTGATCACAAGTGCCTCCGTTCTCGCCTACTATAACCCAGCACTCCCACTTGAGATCCAGTGTGACAACAGTCAGTGTGGTATCGGGAGCCGTGCACATGCAGAACGACTTTCCCAGCCGGACGCTGACAGAGGCCGAGCGTCGTCACGCACAACTAGAAAAAGAAATGCTTGCATTGGTTTACACCGGGGAACGTTTCAATGACTATATTTGGCCGCAAATCCACTGTCTTTATCGACCACAATCCCCTTGTATCGATCACCAGTGAGCCGCTCCATGTAGTTCCACGCTGTCTGCAAAGGCTGCTTATTCGTCTGTCTGCCGGCCCGGATCAGAGATGCACATTGCGGACACGTTGTCAAGAACGCACCTTCCAGATATGCCCGGAAAGGAAGAAGTCCCAAACTTTGTCCATGTAACAACGTTGATCGCCGTCACTAAGGAACGCTTGCAGCAGCAGCTCCAACGGTGCACGGAATAGGACTAACTGTGTAGGCTACTGAAGCACACGATAATGAGCAGATGGCTTGAAGACAAGGAAAAGCTGCCTAAGGAGCTGACCGTTTTTACATTTTCGCGACGGGCTCATTACTCAAAAGGTATTAATATTCAAAGGTAACAGGAGAGTAGTTCCTAAGGCACTGCAACGTTCGATGCTGGAGCTGATATACTGTACACATTTGGGAACCAAAAACTGCGTAGCAAGAGCTAGAGAGCTGTTGTTCTGGCCCGGAATGGCCAGCCAAACACGTGACTACGTCTCCAATTGTGTGTTTTGCAGTACACACGACGTACGCCGGCCAAAAGAACCGATGGTGCTTCGTGACGTTCCTAACAGACCATGGCAGATGTTTGCACTGAACATTTTTGCTCACGACTGAAGGAACTATGATTGTGGCAGATTAATTTAGTGACTACTTGAGATCGTTGCCCTTTGGACGACTAGTAGTCAAGTCAAAGTAAGCTTTATCCACCCGTGTGAATGCATTTTCAGCATTTTTACACCAACTCTGCGGATTATTCTGCGACAAAACATCACTGGGCGGTAAAAATTGACAGCAGTAAATGAAAATTTACATCTTCATTCAAGCATGCGGTCACGAAAACGGCATTTCACTCCCAAAGGGTCGATTAGTACGCGTGATAGGAGGACAGGATAGAGTTTTGATACGATGAGGTACGAGAATATAAATTTTGTCCGTGTGAACGAAGTTGTTATAGTGCTGGCTAGGATATCGTGTAAAGGGTATGAGGAGTCCTTTAACATTTGGGATGAAAAGTTGATTCACGCATGCATCGAAATGTTTGTTAACAATGAAATCTATGAGCGTATCTCTTCCTACACTGGAGCAACGGGAAACAAATTTTACTGAACGGACAATAACGACATAATCTTTTTGAAGCAAACCTGGGAAACTAACTGGAAGACAGTATAACCAGTGATGGAGCATACATGAAGTCAGTTGCGGTGCCAATTCGCTCAGCATGGAATATCCGAGGTGGTGATTTCCGAAAACGGGCCGCAATTTAATAGTGCAGAGTTTCGTGCATTCAGCAAGAAGTGGGATTTTCGGCACCGGTTAATCAACCCATACCATGGCTAATCAAACCGTAAGGCTGATTCCGCGGTGAAGGATTCGAAGAAAGTGCTTACGAAGGCCAAGGATCTCTACATAATGCTACTGAAACGAAGGAACACACCAACTACTGCTATCGGAGCGAGTCCCGTACAGCATCGATTCAATCGCTGACCATAAACACTAATACCGACCGCTGCAACTACTGTAGCCCGAGATCGCGGCCAGCCGATGTTCTCCACGACTAACTACGGAACAGAATGTTAAGGCAAAAGAAGCACTTTGATCCCGGATCGAAAAGCCTCCCACCACTAGCTACGGGAGAAGAGGTATGGGTGCAGCCAGTACCAGGATCCGAAGCAAGGTGGCCGCAGGGAGTGATTGAAGGCCTGAAGGGAGCTAGGAACTATGAGGTCAAGGTTGGGGGCAACATCTTTCGACGGAATCGGGTGCAACTAAAGAGCGCGTCATACGTGGACACAGCAAAGAGAGGATCAGCAACAACAACAACAACCGGAGAGGAATCCTGATATCCAAGCCCATGACGTTAAACACACATGCAGTGGAAGGCAATACGAAACATATTGCAACACCATTCCTTAAAAAAACGAAAACAAGTAAGGATATGGTGAGCATGCCGCTTGTTTATGGAGCTTAACGATTTCAGGCCAACAGTCTGAAAGATGATCGATCGCTGCAAGAGGCGTACTGAAGGATAGTATGTAATTGATTTAAATCTACATGAACGACGCTCAAACACTGACCGAGAGTGCAATAGCATGGAGACGTGCTCTACCTCCGTGAGTGGTTCTACTCAATGCCAGAGATAAAAAGAGCTCGTGTTTTATGAACAATAGATTTCTGATCGAAACCCAGACTTTGTTTTTGATTCACGGACGGCCATACGACAAGGTCCAGTCTGGTTGCAGCGTTGCGAATCGAGTGGGAGATGTCCTCAGTGATCGCTGTTCTCTACTTGGGTGCCTTGTTGTGAAGATCTCCGAAACCTTCGAGTTTGCTCACCCTTACTTTTTGGAGCATCACTCTTATCGCTTGTCACAAATGTGTCCACAACAATGAGTGTTAGGTGAGGACGGTTGGGTTCGTCCGTTCGATCAACAAATTGAATCGAAATGCTTGCATTGAATTAGACGCGTATTCTGTATGCTTGCTCATTGCTTGTTTTGTTTGCTAAATATATTATGGTGTGAGGTTCGAGGAAGTAACTCGTTGGTTCACAATTGAAGAGTAATCAGTGGTGACTAAACTGAGCGCTGTTGGTCCGGTTCACTTTCTCTGTTGGGATACACGCGACTCTGCGTTTGGTTCGAGGCGTTACAGAGCGTGACTCCTGAGAGGTACTGGTAGGGCGTTTACTGTTGTACACCATGGACTGCCTGTTTTAAGTTTGTATAGGGGTAAGTTATCTGATAGTAGGGCTTCGATGGAAATGTTTATGTTTTGCAGCTGATGCTTGCTTGATCTGCATCTAACTACAACCACACTGGTTATAGGGCAGTTTTTCTTAGGAAATGGGAGGTTTTTTGCTTTCTGCACTCAGCACAGTTTCTGGTTTCACTATCGCGTTACTGTATATTACTGATCAGCAATATACTTGGACTACTTTCCTCGACTCCTTGCTGTCACATCTCCAACAGCGGTCGCATGCAAGCTTGGGTATTTCGAGTTTATTCGCAGCTATAAAGATTCGAATCATTGACCCGTGGAATGCGAATCAAACGCGTGAACCACTGCCGTCGGTCGACCAGTTATATGCTACTGTTGCAGATTGGTGGCGGAGCGGTTCAGATGTCTGGCTTATCTTCGGCGTTCGTCAGGTGGCCAAAAGATTAACGCGTCTATCTTGTAACACACAGGTCACTGTTTCGGATCTTCGCAGGTGTGTATGATCTCGCATTATCCATAGCTTGCACGCGACTATTGGTGGTGGTCGCACGGCATTGAAACGTCGGTGCGACGTACTACTGATGCTTGTGTATTCCACGGATCACTGATTCGAATCTGCGTGGGTTCGGGTGAATTTGCAGTATCGCGACCCACATGCCAACACTGTTTGATACTTAATAACGTGACGTACATATAAAGTTTCGACATGCTGTTGATACTGCTGCGACTAGAATGAACCTCGTTTAATGATTAGATCTGAAAACTTGGCATCCGTTTGCCGCTGACCTGTCGCTCATTTGCCACAGGCTTTTGCTCCCGTACTTAAACATAGGTGGCCCACGTGATTTGACCCGACGCATATGGGACACGGGGCATCTACGTGCTAGCGACTGGTTTCATCTTCGAAAGACAGGTTGCTTCTTATTCTATCACTGTTTGATTGGAATGATGCTTCCAATAGGATCGAGTTAATGAAACTGGATCAGTGACTGTATGTCGAGGCCACGTCCAAACGGTTGTTATTTAACAGCAAAACTTTGCATTCCTAGCCCACACGTTGACGATTCCCTTCAATTTAGGCCGCCGCCTATTTATCAGTTCACTTGGATCTATGGAACGGCGTCAAATTCATCATGCATCCCCTCACCCAGTTTTACCATACCTCTTCTGTCCCCTGCTTCGCTCAGAGACATTGTTGATGGTCTGTACTTGCAATAACCCATCCTAGTCATCTATGAGCTCCCCAGCTCTACTGTTCTTTTTTGCTTTGCATTCACATTCAGAGAAAGTCCCGTGGCCACAGCCAAAGCCAATGTTATGCTCTATGATGCCACCGCATGCACCTGGGTGCCATCTGGTCCAGGTCTTGGAGTGTCGAAAGTTCAGTTGTACCACAACTCGGCAACCAACGCATACCGTGTAGTTGGATGGCGTTTGCAAGATCGTGAGGTAAGCCCAGCCTTCCGCTAACTATGGTTCCCTCACATTAATTTTGCTCTTTCTGTTAACTAGCTCCTTGTTGTGACTTCTGTAGTGAACACAAAGTGTACCGATTTATGGCATCGGTTTCTCCCTGTTGCTTCTCTCAAAGCTTACTCGGACTTAGTGTGACTCCTCTGTGTTAGTAATCTAGGTACACTGACCTTGTTTTCTGACCTAGTCATGAGATTATACTTGTCGAGATGGCTCCACACACATCTGACTCATGGAGTACGCTCCATAGATACTTTTACAACTTCCCTGACACTTTTCTATCCCTTGTATTGCATCCTTATTTGTGTCCATCCGTGTTCTCCTTCCCCTCACTACTCATCTTCCGATTTGTACACTACTTACAGACCTGTTTACTGATATCCGTAAACTCTTATACAGTACCAATACCAAGTCTTCACACTTCACTCAGTGTTCTAGAATCGATCAAACAGCTTCATTTAATAGCCACTTCAAATCATTCCCCGATTGCCTCCCACAGTTGCAAACTGTGGTCTATGTCATATGTATTCGAACACTGCCTCTTGCCACCAGCCACCGCATTTTCAGACGAATAACGCACGTTGATTTAGTAACCCTTCGTGGATATGTGTTGCTTCTTCCGTTTCCTCCGCCCGTTTATCTTTTCATCCATCGATTTTATCTTTCTTCTTCGTCTCTTTTCCTTTAACTTTTTGTTGTAATGTTTGCATTCCTATCTACTTTGTTCCCCATGGCTTACTTAACTGATTTTATTACTGCTACTACTCCTACCATTACGAAAACGGGGTTGTAAGAATTCGTCCTGACGCACTTTGATGTCCAGGTCGTAGCTGACACCGAACTGCAGTAATCCGACGTGCCGTGTCCCACTTCCAATTGCTACCACTGTCTCAGAACTCTGTCATCCATGGACAAGCGTCCATACATCAAGAACAAATCTGCGAAAATTACAACCTGTTGGATGCGTGGAACATCTAGGTATATTGTTCGTGCTCTTTCATAAATGACAACCCCTTTGGGTCGATTAACTTCCTTTTTTGACCCCGTTGAACAAGACGAGACTGGACCCTAACGTGGTGCGATGATTTCTTGTGTGCCTCAGTGATCCATTGAGCTATGCTGAATGATGCTTTTGCACCTTCAAAGCCACTCATACTAGATTGACCAATGGCTTAAAGTCCTGATAGACTCGGTCTCCTGAGCCTCCAGATTGGGGGTTGGAGTGAGGATGGCTCCTTGCTCCATAACACGGGCTCTCAGTAGTCCAGTGCCAAAACCCCGTTGCCTTGTGGTCAGGTTTTTGAACCAAAGCCTTTGGTTGAGAACCATAATCGTTCTCCTGTCTGGGCCTGGTCAACCTGACAGTATTCTGCCCACACAACACATCATGACCTCTCTTTCTAACAATCGATGCTCTGGCCGTCGCAGAGGATAATAAAGGGCGCCCTGTCTGCTGTATCGAGCAGGGTGGATAGGGGTTTGGATGCTATTGATTAAGCCTTTCCATTTTCTTATTATTCGTCGCGCTTTTCCGTCCCTATCGTTCCGCCCCAACTTTACTTTTCCCCCTTGTTTTCAATCCCCTAATTCCAGACCCTCCCTCGACTTGCTTCAATACTCACCTGTCCTCTAGTTTCAACTCTCACAAAATTGCAGAGCGTCGCACCAGTTCAGTCGACAGGTTCATGTCCAACCAAGCGGACACCCTCACTTCATCTCTTTCTCTTTGGAGTCCTCGCTCCTCTCATGCCTCAACATGCGCACCTTGTTACAGATTATCCAACAGGCAGCACTTTCCCGAACACTAGAGACCCCGTCGATACATATTTGATAATTATCGGAAGCCTGACTGCAAGATTAGAATTCCTTGTTTACTCTGCGATCCCCCACATGCGACACTGGGTTCACATTCTCATTGCGCCTGACTGGAGGTGACATAGCTTCAACTGCCGGTCAAACCGGCGTAGGCGTTCGTCATCATCATTATACACGTTACCTAGATGTGCGAAACTTCTCAGCTACTGTGTCGCAATACATAAAGGAAAAGGAAAATAAATGCAACAGTTTGCATGCCAGCTGAGCTACCAGCAACGCATAGGCATCGTTCAGGTAACCTACCAGCCGGCCACTAGACAGAAAGAAAAATTATTATGTAAAATTATATTACGCTACGAAATGAGATCGTGGTTAGAGGGGGAGGCTAAAGGGGATGGGGAGGGGCAAAGAAACTCACAGCAAAAACGCCACTGAGATCGGCTCCTTGCCATGTCAGCAAGTATATCCAGCCAAACGTGTTCATCGTGTTTTAGACCCCAACCAGGGAGCCGTGACGGTCCAACCGAGGCCAGCTCCGAAGTGAGGACCTTCATTCCTTTGGACCAAGTCATCACTTGACCATCCCTCCTTTCCTTCCATCCACATCCCCGGGGAGCAAACAACGCACGCCGTGGAAGTCGGTGAGCTGGCATGCGCAACACGTGGCTGAGCCATCGGAGCCTGGTTCGTGAAATGACAGTGCTGAGCGGTTCAGTTCCTTTTCGTGTGACGTAAACAAGGCGTCGAACACGCTCGTTACTCACGCGGTGTTCCCATCAGATGTGAGCCAAACTGCGAAGGCACCGATGGTCGAACGTAACTAGCCTCTTCATGTCCGCTGATTTTAGGGGCTGGCTTTCACAACCGTATAGGAGGGTTGAACGGACGGCTGCATTTTAAACTCTATCCTTCATGGAGAGAGTGGTGTTGCGCCTGCATCATAAGTGGCGAAGATTAGCAAAAGCGCCTGGACCTTTTGCTGTACTGTTTGTGGTCCCATCTTCGATTCCACGGGCGCTGATACAACTGCCTAGGTAGTTGCATTTTTAACGACTTATAATCATCATCAATGACAGAAGAACATCAGCCATTTTGCTTGCTGCTCCGCTGCCATACACTCAGAACGATCCTCGGAACAAAGAATAATTGGAGGGAGAGAAGGAGGACTTACCTGAAAACCTTAATGCCCTAAACAAACATTCAGGGTCAAGGTGTCTGCACCTCGTGGCAGCAACCTACCGTCACAAACAGCTGGCTAACTTGCAAATATATGACGGCGTCGGCGAGACAGCTTCCTTGCGGCTTTCACTGTCCCGCATCATAATCAGCCATTACCCCGCAGATAACTCAGCATCAAACACGCTTTAAACAGGCAATCCGACTAAGAGACGACATTAGACACGCCACTGATGTCGACTGCGAGCCATGTCTTGTAGTCTCAAGCCAAGGACAAGGCGAGTCACGGGGACCCCAATCCGGAAGGCAAAACGGACCAATGGCACCCAGTTTGGTTGTCAATGACTTCATTATCCGCTGCCAAGTCAACTTCTATCCACCTCGCGTTTTGCGCCACCCTACACCTGGCAGACTAAACAAGGCCCTCCTTGGTAAGCGGTGACCAGGTCTACGTACTTCGTAACGCGCCCAAACCAACGCAACTTATTTAGTGCTATCTGTTGTCATGAAGAACTGCCTTAAGTATCGTTACCTTGCACTCGCTAACGCGTATCATCGCTGCGGACAAGCTAATGCCACCCGACACTAGCAATGCACCGTGGACGATGATGATCAAAGACTTGAAGGTTCTTCAGGTTTTCAGACTGCACGGACCAACTCTTACGCTCATAGAGTGGGATGGTCCTCACTGTGGCCTCGTATACACGGTCTTTCAGACGGTTAGAAACTCCTTTCTGTCGCCAAGTATACCGCAGGTTCAAGAAGACAGTTCTGGCTTTTGCAATGCGTGAACTGACTTCAGTTGCTATGCGTCTCATCGTTGCTGATGCAGCTGCCAAGTGAAGTTCATTGATCAACTACCTCAAGTTTCTCGTTATCATCGATCAAATAATCATCAAATAGCTGGGGGTCCTACAACTACACTTTGAACTTTGAATGTGTGAAGCGCAAGCCAAATGATGGAACCACTCTAGGGAGAATTACATCTAGCTGATCCCTACCAAGGGTAAGCGCTGGAGGCGGTCTCTGCCTATCTTGCAGGAAAGCATTGCATTTTGCGGTTGCTAAGCAAAGCCCTAATCGGCTGACAACATGTGCTAATTTGTCTAGTGTAGCTTGGCACATCTGTGAGCTGCCACAGATTAGAACAATGTTGTCAGCATACTCCAAGTCAAAAAATCCTTCACCTGGAAAAGCCACCACATCTTCCTAGTCGTGCCGAGTGAACGCGATTTCCATGACTTCGTCAATGGCGAACTTGAAGAGGAAAGGTGACGGCGGGCATCTCTGTATTACACAGCTGGAGATATTGAATGGCGTCGACAACTTTCCGTAAACCCTCACTCTGCCCGAGCTACGCGTTTAAAGCGCTCGGATAATATTCACACATTTCTCGCTCACACCTTTCCTGAGTAGGCAATCCCAATAGCATTCGATCAACGGAATCGAAGGCACATTTTATGTTGAGGTACACGACAACGGTGGGTCCCCAATATACGTCACGGTGTTCCAATACTTGCTGCAATGTAAAGACGTGATCGATGCAGCTTCGCTCTTGACGAAATCCGGTTTGCGCTCAAATCCCCCGCCAGCACAACAGTGACCGTGCTTCTTTTGTGACGGAGGAGCTCGTTCAGTTGGCGATAGAAGTCGTCTTTCACCAATTCATCGCCACCGTTTTTGGGGCGTATACAGCGATGTGCTGTGCTACTTACATGCTTTGAAGGAGCCACCTAGTCGGACGGCACACGTCCGGCAACTGATTGGAATCCAATCAATCAGAGCAGCTTCAGTCCTCCGACTCAAGGCAATATCAACACTGGCTTGGCCGGCACTTGTAGTTACCTCATCCCCGGATCGATCCAGTGAGGAAGCACTGCTAGTGTCATCTGAAGGAGATCGCAGAGTGAGCATAGAGCTCAAGCCTTTCACGTGGGTTTATAGTAAGCAGCAGATATTGATCGAGCCTGTCTCTAATATTCTGGGAGTGCTGCTTGCTGACCACACTGTAATCATGTGTGTACGTTGAGGGATGCCAGTCTAAAGGAGGATCAAGGACTCCAAATAGAAGCCGATGAACTCGGCTTGGCCGCTTGGTTAGACATGAGCTTGTTGTTGGGGCAGGATTGGCGCTCCTCGTTTGCATGTGAGTCAAAACTAGAAGATGAACGCCTATTAAGGGAAGCTGAGGGATTGCCTAGAATTAGGGGTTGAAAAGGGGGGGATAACAATGTAGCTGGTGCTGGATGATAAAGATAATAAAGCCTAAGAGGAAGATACAGAAGACAGGTAGGTCTGAGCAGTAACATCCTTATCCCCATCCACCGTGCTGGATGCAGCAGATACGGCGTCGTTGACTATCCTCTGCGAGAGCCAGACCATCAAGAATTGATTTGCCACAAAAATCATTGTGTTGTATTGCGTGAGCAGGATACTGTCAGGTTGTGCAGGCATAGCTATCCTCACTCTAACCCCCAACCTGGAGGACCAGAAGACTGAGTTTGTCTGACCTCTAACCATGGACCAATCTGGTATAAGTGACTCTGATGGTGCAAAAATCACCAACCAGCATTGAGACACGCAACCCATGGCACCACGGTAAAGTCCAGCCTCATTGCGATAGTCCCCTATGCTTAATGTAAATTCCCCACTAGTAAAACTTATTCTACAGCATTGTTCACAGCGACACCTCGAGGTGCTTGTTTCTTGTCCCTTCACACTCAAATCCTACGTTTTTTACTCAAAGTGAAATCATGTCTTTCAGATTCTTCTGGAGAGGTTCACAAGTCAGCTCTAAGTGTCTTACCAACCACTACACAACCTACATTCATGTGTTCCGGCTTAGCGACTGTTCAAAATCGACACGCTCCTCCCGCTGATTTCATATGTCTGCATTACGACTCGGAGTTACTTGTATTTGATAGGCGGATTTTGTGTTTCAATACGACCTGTTTCCGCATACTGATTTGCGGCTCTCGTATGTACCCTAAAATGACCTTTGCAGTGTACTCAGCCCGTAGCCTAAAGGCAACGAGTTTATCTCGTACTCTGACTGCGCGGGTTCGAGTCTGCGTAGGGGCAGAGCGACCGTCGCAATATCCTTAGGCCACGTGTGACCCGTGGTGCTTGCGCGGCAGCGAAGCATCGATACTACGTACCGGCGTACTGCTGATGCCTTATATAGTCAACTTATTCTATATCTGCAGGTCTGCTCCTTCATCCGATCGTATCGTCTCACTGTGCTCGCTAGTCAAGCAACAGCTTCTCTGCGACTAAGGACACCAATGGATGTTGCTCAAAGCCTTTCTGCATCTTCCTTAGATCTCGATGAGAGATCGATGAGTTGGTCATAGATCTACCTACCTGTTAAGCTTTTTGGCCTTATTCGGTGGCATCCGGCGTGTTTTACTTGCGGATAAAACATGCAGCTATGTTCATCTCATCCGGGTCGATAACAAATTCTTACTTCTTCCTGACTCAAGGTGCGGTAGAAATTATCAGTGACCCCTACAAACTTACCTCGTAGACTGAACATCATTCTTCACCGCTTACGGAGAACGTGTGATTGCGTAACCATTTGCTAGCCACAGAAAGTTGAAGCGTTCACTAAGGGGAAATGTAATTTCCTTAGCTCACCCTCTCTCTCTAGTGCTTGTTGCTGGCTATATGCCACAACTAGTATCGAAATGTTGTCACTCTGCTTCCGACTTATCACGGATTGAGTTTTGACTGGTAGCTTGTTCATCATTTGTTTAGACTGGGGCCACACCCTTCTAGTTTCTTGCTTACTGGATGGTAAAGTGCATTGCTTTCCTAAGGGTGCTGCTCTTGTGCAGTGACCTCACCCGTTCACATCCCACTAGGGTTCATATACGCTTTCTGTGATGTGTTTTATATGCGTTTTCTTTGCCGAAGCGAACAGACCTTCATCAAATGTAGTAACAATTAACACTTATTAGCTTACGCGCCCTTCAGAGGTCCAACTAGGCAATCATTGATTCTTTCCGGTTCCCATATATCTCTCAGTATGTTCAGGTCGTTTCTATTTGCCTCTGTCTGCAAGATGCACACTACGATCTAGCTCCAAGACGAACATCATTTTGATCCTGTCGCTATTTTTAACTCACTCGAGGTGTATTTTACCTTTTTGCATGCCCATTCACTCACAACAACTGTCTGGGTTTTCCGTTGAATGTATCAACTTGCGATCTCATTTATCTCCTTCTCGTACGCACTGCACCTGCACAGGTCGTCATCAATTGTGCCATTGTGTGTGGTTTGAAGTATCACCGAGCCCGGCAAACATTTCACCAATGGCGTGACGCCAAGCAGCAGGTCTATGGCTTGAATTTCACCTCTGCGGACGAGGCAGATGAATTTGCCGCCGCGGTGGAACGTGCATTGGAACGTCTGGCTGAGGTGCACAAAGAGAAGGTGCAGCAACAACTGCAACAGCAGCAGCAGCAACAACCACAGGCTCAGTCACATGCATCGCAACCAATCCCACAACCCCAGCAGCTTTTTCCCCACCAATCCAGTGCACCCGTAATCAATCGCCCTATGCAGGTAAGCCTGAAGCGCCATTTCCCCCAAGTTTTGGACGTTTCGCATAAATGTAATGTAATGATACACGTCGATGAGGTTAACACTTGAAGTCTTTTGACAATTTGTAACACGTACATCATTGTTGCGTGTGCATTGTTTGTCCTCTCATCAACTGCGCTTCGTGCGGTTAGGTGTGATCTCTGGCGCCGTCACACTTCACCTCATCATGATTACACAGTTCGGCGGACTAGTGTCATGTCGGGCGTGTTTCACAACTGATAATTTCCTCACTCATTTGGATTTTCTCCTTAAGGGCAAGGTACCAAATTACAGTGGCATTTTACTTGTATTTTTAAAAAATTCTATTCGACAGTTTCACCTGATTAGCCACCCTAGAACGACTTATTAGTGTTCCGATTCACTACACACATACATCACGTGGGCTTATTATTGCCGATCAGCCATTTGAGCGTATCATCCACCCCGAGGATGCTTTGCTTGTTTAGGAAATGATGAGATTTTAATTTCCTGGCTGACAGCGTAATGTGTAACACCACAGTGCTCGAGCCTTCCTGTCTTCCTATTCTTCCTGTTACACTTTTTCACCGTCATCTGGCCGTTGCAACTTCACTTTTGAGCCCCCGTTTTCAACCCCCAATTTTCGTCCCTCCCCCATCTTCCCTTGATAGGCGCTTATCATCTGACTTCAAGTCACTTGCAAACCCGCATTCTCATTCCTGCCACACCGACAAGCCCATGTCCAGCCAAGTGAACAAACCCAATGCATCGACTTCTATTTGGAGCTCTTGATCCTCCTTCAGAATGGCATGCCTCAACTTGTGCACATTATTACAGATCGGTCAACATGCAGCAATTGCCCGAACATTAGAGATCGATAGCTGCTGCTTACTATAAGCCCGCGTGCATGGCTAGAGCTCTGTGCTCACTCTGCGATCTCTTTCGGATGACCCCAGCAGTGCTTTCTCACTGCACCTATCCGGGGATGATGCAGCTTCGTGTGCCGGCCAAGCCGGTGTTCGTACTGTCTTGAGTCCCAGGGCTGAAGCTGCTCTGGTTGATTTGTTTCCGATCAGTGGCTGAGAATGTCCCGTCCGACTAGTTGGCTCGTTCAAAGCTACGAAGTCGCGCGGGGCTAATATTTACCTGTTTGTCATCGCTGCTAACGCTTCCGCAAATTGTAGCGCTGATTTGATGAAAGACGACTTCTATGGCCAACTGACCGAGCTTCTTCGCACAGAAGAACCATCGATATCGGGAATCTGAGTGCTCACGTTGGAAAATTATCCGCTGATGAGCTGTATCCTGGTGACCAACACGCCTATTTTTCTCGAGCACTAACTTTCTACACAGCACCCGCCAGAGGGTGACATGGCGTCTGCCAGCCTCTAACCAGCTATGAATACAAATCGATCACATCGGGATCAGTCACCGCCGGAGAGGCTGCGTCCAGAACTGTCGCTCGATTTAGAGCTCGTGTGGACACCGACCATGCACTTGTATGTGCTGACCTACGGATGTGTTTTGGCGGACGCCCACAACGACGCTGTGAGCGTGTAGACACCAGCAAACTGGTGTAGGCAGGTGTTCTGAATGCGTATAGAAGTGCGCTGGCGTTCGTGTTGAGCAAGCACTCACTGAATACAATTGAAGCTCACTGGTCACATGTTCATCAGAATTCTTTCGCAGCAGGCAAATCTAGTAGCCAATCTGGACATTAGGTGTCTGCGCAGTCTCTGGAACTTATCATTGCCCGTCGGCACATTCCGGCTGAAAGCGAACACAACGAGACTCCCAAACACCTCAGGGCAAAACTCTGTGTTAGCCTGATGATGGAACGCGAAGCCTGGTGGTCTCTTCGTGCGTCAGAGATAAAAGTGGCCGCTACCTTTGGTAATCATCGTAAGTTATTTCGTCTGATACGGGAAACGGGCAGCAAGAGACTTACTATCAGTGACACTATATGCGACGAGAGTGGACAGCCTATCCACAACTTGTCAAAACGCTTGCAGCGTTGGGCTGAGCAATTTGAAAAGCAATTAAATCGGCCGGAATTATCAGGTTTGTCGCCGTCCGCTCTACTCCAAGGGCTGCCTATTTGGATCCGCCCCTTCGCTCAGAAATTGAATGTGAGATCGAACTGCTGTTGTTGCTCAAGGCGCCTGCTCTTGTGGATGATTTGCACGAGTTATTAGTGAAACTTTGAGAGCAGAAAGCTGTCCCAGTCTTTTGGAGTCGCTCCGTTATTGTCCCGATCCTCAATGGAGGATCGCGTTTGTCATGTAGCAACCATAGAGGAACCAGTCTGGTCTCTATCGCCTCAAACTTATTTGCGTCTGAAATCCTCCACAGATTGACTGGCGCTTGTGAAAGCCAGATTCACGCGGAGCACACCGGGTTTCCTCGAGGTCGCTGCTGCATCTTCATTTTGCGTTACTAGTTGGAGCACCGTGACATATGTGGGGGGCTCACCGTTGTCGTGTTCTTCGACATAGAAGGTGCCTTCTATTCGGTGAATCTATGTGCCTATTGGGACTGTCCATTGAGGAAGAGTGTGACCAAGTACTATGTAAATATTATCCGTGCGCTTTACGCGCCTAGCTCGGGCAAAGTGCAGGCTCACGCCAAGCTGCCACCGCCCTTCAATATCTCCAGCTGGGTGAGACAAGCTTGCACGCTGTCACCTTTTTTCTTCAACTTCGCTGTTTACGAAGTCATGGAAATTGCGTTCACAAAACACGACTTGGAAAGTGTGGAGCTGTTTCCAGGTGAACTACTTCTTGACTTGGAGTATACTGACGATGTTGCTCTCATCAGTAACAGATCACAGACGTGCCAAGCAGCACTGGATAGATTAGCACTGGCTAACAGGCGTTCCGGGCTTTGCTTTGCACTCTCGAAATGTAAAACATTTTCTAAGATTGGCAGGGACCGCTTCCTGTGCTGTTTCTTCATGGGGACCAGAGTGAAGTCGTTCAAAAGTTTAACTCCCTGGACAGTTGTATCAGCACCTGTGAAATTCAAGACGAGATCACGAATTGCATAACAGAAGCTTGAAGCGTTTTTGCTAACTTTTGCCGCCTATGGTGCCGGTGCGACATCACTCTCTCCCTGAACGGCAGAGTGTGCACGGCAGCCCTATGTTCAAACATGGTGTACGGTCCTGAAACCTGGTCCATTAGATCGGCAAACGTAAAGAGGCTAGTTACGTTCGACCACTAGTAACTTCGCAGTTTGGTTCATATCTGGTGGGAACACCGCGTGAGCAATGAGCGTGTTCGGTGCCTTGTTTATGGCACAAGAAGAGGAAGTGAAACACTCGGCACCGTTATTTCACGATCTGACTGCCAACTCCCAGGAACGATGTGTATCCGTTACTGGGGGTTCAGCGGGCGTGCAAGTGTAGCTTCTTTTTCTCCACTTCTCATAAGTTTCGACACAGTAGCTGAGGTGTTTAGCACCTCTTGCTGACAGACACGGTACGCGAATGATGTAGCTCAGCCCCATGTCCTTTGAAAGCGATTGTATATTAACTGATGCGAAACGCTGCGCGCTTCGACATGGGCCTTGCAATTTCCGAGTTGCTGCACAATGCGGGACCGTCACATCTGCGGTTGCATCTCTGTCGCCATGCAAACACCTGTTTCGGTTGATCTATACTCGTTTGTATTCTTGGCTGTCGCAACTCTATCGGTTGGCTAATTGAGTAGATTTCTGTGGCCATTGTTATGATTCACGTCAGTTTCAATCATGCCCTACATCTGTTGGACTATCAGCTTTTCGAAAAACGCATGGTGTCTAGCACTCGCATTTTCCATGTTGCTATGTGAGTCCGAGACGTGGATGCTTCCCGTTGATGATACTATGAGAATATTTACCTTTGAAAATCGACGTGTGCGCAGCGTTCATTACTTTTCTCTTACAACCATCGCAGTGGTTGTGTGGCCCCCCTTGGTATCTGTCCACCGATCTGGCCGAACCTCGCTGCATTATCTAGAAAACTTGAACAAGTTGGCGGAAGATTTCCTTTTTTAATAACGGAGTCGGCACAGTTAACCCTGGATAACCTCTCTAGATTGGTCCCATCATTTAGCTTACGCTTCGCACCTTCAAAGTGCAAAGTGTTGTTGCAGGACCACCAGTCACTTGATTATCCCATCAACTCTTGATAGCGATGAACTCAAGATAGTTGCTGACTTCACTTATCTCGGCAGCTGCATCAGCAACGATGGAACGCATAGCGATTGAAGTCAGTAAACGTATTGCAAAACTTGGGGCTGCCTTTTCTAATCTGCGACATCTGTGCTTCCAGAAAGGAGTTTCCCTCGGTCTAAAAGGTCGCGTATACAGAGCGACAGTGTGGGCCGTCCCACTCTGTGGGAGTGAGACACAGCCCCTTCGATCTGAGGGTCAGGCTCCTTCAACTTTTTGATCATCGCTGTCTGCGGAGCATTGCTGGTGTGGGGTTGCACCAGTGCGTCCGCAACTATGATGCGCGTCAGCCTATGCTATGTAGTGATAATCAGGCTAATTGCTTAGAACAACAAATAGCACTGAATAAGTTGCGTTGGCTTCAACAGGTACAATGTATGCCTCGTCATCGCTTACCGAGGGACGCCTTGTTTTTCTGCTAGATGTAGGGTAGCGCAAGGCTCGAGGTGGACAAAAGTTGACTTGGCAGCGGGAAATGAAGTCACTGACGACCCAACTTGGTGTCGTTGGTCTGCCTCGGCTTCCTGGGTAGGTTCACGTGACCTGCCTTGTGTTTGGCCCCAGACTTTACAGGACATGGCTCCCAGTCGGAACCAGCGATGTGTCTGCTGTCGTCTCCCAGTCGGACGAGCTATTTATAGTGTGTTTGGTGCTGATTTATCTGCGGTATAATGGCTGATTATGACGCTGGGCAGTGAGAACTGCTAGTAAGCCTTCCAGCCAATGTCACTTTATCCTCGCATGACAACCAGCTGTTTTTGCAAGGCCTACGGAACCCTAATGTCGAATAT